TTCTTATCTTGCTCAGACCATTTTCCTCTGGCTTCTTTCACTTCCAGCGGACCATCGAGGACTATGTTCCATAAGTCCGGATCAGTGGAACCAATAAACAGCTCCATCCTGTTTCTCCAATATCCATAGTGCACTCCTTCAAACCTGGGTGGCCGCGTCTGAGAGAATCCATCTGCCATAAACACACCGCTTGCATTTCCCGAGCTCGAGCTCATCTTCGCCGGAGGTTGTTAAGCCTGCGTTTGTCGGCGACCACGGCTCTGATACCACGTGTTGATCGTTGAGCGCGAGACGATACACCCGGATTGACGCAGCAATCACTCTTCGATTTTGCAGTCTCTCCAATCTGCACCACTTTCCTTCAAGCTTCGACAAGAACAAGTGAGATCGAAATTTTAGGGTTTGAACAAGAATAGATAAATAAAAGGAAACGTTTGGGTGAATGAATTTAGTATAACAATCAGAAACGTTTCTTCTCTTTTCAATGGGCTTGTTTAAAAAACTGAGTTTAAGGCCCAGTGCCTGTAACAACCAAAACCCAAACTCCTGTTTCAGATTTGTGAGTGAAAGCCCAAGGCTAGCTTTCAACGCGGCGTTTTGTGAATTCAGGAAATTCACTTCAGTCTTCTTCTTCCTCAGGTAAGACTGCCTGCCCTGTTTCCTGCAAACTCAGAGACGAAAAAACAGAGCAATATTATCTTGATCTAGAGCAGAAACTAAATAAAGAACAACGCACGATTTTTACGTGGTATCCGGCTTGCAAAGTGCAAAGCCGACTAATCCACGGTCAGAAGCTCACGATCCTGTGACTTCTGACGATCCACTAATTTGGTGTTTATGTAGTTAAGTTCTCAGACAGAGATTTCAATCTCTTCTATCAATCTATCTCAACCCAGCTATCCAGCTATAACAATGTTTCCCCAACACTGCACTCTTGATCTAATTCTCCCCGAATTAATCAAGCAAAACCTCTCCTATCAAACTACTCTCAGCAAGGTTCCTTATGCTTTCTCTTGGTCAGTTTGATGTCTCGGAAAAAGTTGTCTGTGCATCCAGTGTCTTGCTTATTTATACTGCCTTTCACTATTAGCCGTTGGAGTCTCATTGATTTGATTGCCATGATCCGTGCCTCCTTCCATCTTTGCTTTCTTGACAGCTTCATTTCTCCTTTCCATTCTTTGCCCGCTCCTTTCCATCTTTGTTCTTGACTTCTTACCTTGTTTGCTGCAGAGCCGTTTGACTGGCTTCTTTCAACAATCTACCCACTAGTTATTTCAAATAACTGATTTCTCAACTTTTTTTTTCACTTCATCTCTAATCTAAGTGGTGAAATACCACAATATTTGAATGTTTTTATCCAAACAAGACTCTTAGACCCAATTACCACACCTCCAAGCTAAAATACCGCGTGAAATGTTACATAGCAAAATAATGCAACCCTTTTTATTCGAAATACCACATAACCAAAATGATGTATCGAAAAGAACCCGTTGGTGTGAATAGATTTGAAAGCTATATGAAGTCTCAAACACAATATCATATTGGTGAGTGAAGTCTTTAAAAAGGTGTGTAATGATATGTATCTCTCTTCAAAGGGTTTAGTCTTTGGGTTACCCATTTTCGGATATCCTTTTTTTTAAAGAAATGAAAAATAATCAAAGATAATTAATAAATAAATACTTTTGATCTGATTACTGCAGGACCTGCCACAATTACTTGGAGCCTCTGCCCAAAAGGTTTCTCGGTGAATTCCATGTATCAAGCCCTCAATCAGGAGAGATTTCCGGGCAGCGACAGTTTCCCGTTCAAAACCGTGTGGCGCTCCGAGGTTCCAATGAAGGTGAAAGCCTTCCTCTGGCTTGTCACGCATGAGCGCATCCTTACCCATGACAATTTAAAGAGGAGAGGTTGGAATCTGGCCAGCAGATGTGCTCTCTGCAACTTGGAGGAGGAGAACATCGACCACCTGTTCTGTCATTGCTCCTTCTCTAGCAAAATTTGGTCCATCCTCCAGCTGATGATTGAGTTCCACGGACCCTTTCCCGACCGTTTCGTGTCTCTCATCAGGTGTTGGAGTCGTTGCAGCCAAACCCAATGGAAGAATGACTTCGCATCTGGTCTCTTACATGCCTTCTCCTGGGAGATCTGGAAGGAGAGGAATGCCAGGATTTTCCATGATAAATCGTCCCATTGGCGCGTGATCTTTCATAAGATTTGCAGAGTTCTTTTGAGTTGGGTTAGGGCAGCTGGAATCTTGAATGATGATCGCCGGATAGAGTGGCTTGCTCTTATGCATCAGTGTTGCCCGCTCCCTTTCGTTGGAAATTCTAGTCTTGAAGCCGGTTCCTAGGCCTCCCTGTTGCCGGCGTGCTTGGAGTGCTGGTTTCTTCTGTCTTCTTTCTTGTCTTGTTTGCTTCTCCTTCCTGCAGAAGCGATCTGGCCCGCTGAGCAGGTTTTGGTTCTTGTTGCTTTCGGATCAATTCTCTTGATCCTCTTTGTATCAAACTCTTTGTTTCTTTTAATTTTAATCATCACCTTTATAAAAAAAAATACGTTTTTGATAATGATTAATGACTGAATACTTATCTTACTAGATCAGTCCACAGTTAATTAAGTGAGTAATTATATTTTTTTAATTGTGTGACTTATTCCACACAAAAGAGGAATATTCGGAATTTTATGCTCCTATTAATAGCAGATCTCTAGACCCTTTAGACTCAATTTAGAAACACAATAGATTTTCTTCAAAGAGCTCTAGTTTTTTTTTTTAAGAAAATCGAGAGTCAGAGTGAGTGGTTGTTTTATCCTGGAGAAAGTTGATTGATAATATGTTGTGGGTAATACGAGGCAATGTCGCAATCGTCTTAAAGAGAGCAACCTAGTTTTCGACTCAGCCAGATTCGGTAACCCTATTGTTCTGTGTTTGGTTTCTAACAATTTTTAAGACGTTGTGAGACTGCTATGGTGACCGAACAAAACATTGGATCAGGCGCAAGCAATGTCACTCCTCTTTTGCTTGCAAGAAGCGAATTTCCGCAGCTAGAAATAGAAAATATTGTTCTGCTTGATGAATAAAATACTGGCGAACCGTCTCACATCCATGTGCCAGTTCTAGCCGAAGAAGCAGCTTATGCGAGATGATTGTTTGCTGGAAGGAGGATGACTTTCTTTGCAAGAACTGCATCCTCAACGCCCTGCTGATGAACTGTACGACTACTACACGATCAGAACAACACCGTTAGCAGCACCGTGAGAAAGAAGCTCATAAACAAGTTATGAAGGGAAAAGTGTTTGTTGTCATTGCTAAACGATCCACCCCCAGGGATCTGAAACCAAATGAGAAAAGTTTCAAGAACTAGAGCCAAATGATCTACACCAATAAGAATGGTGCCCCTCGTGGTCACCAAAAGATGATGAGTCAATCCTTTAAGAATGACACTCTGTTTCTCTAGTCTCTACTATAACTATAGGAAACAAGGTCATATGACATGAAAATATAGGAACAAGCGTAGCACTGGTCCCAACATTAACTCGACTGAAGAAGAGGATTAGGAGGCTATGGTTACATAAATAATAGCCAATTTAACCTCGACAGTAACTCAATAGGATGCTGGCTAGCTATAGGTGTCTCAAACCATGTGTAGTAACTATACTATGTTCAAGACATACACAAGTGTCTGGTGATAATAAAGTGTTGCTTGGGACTGGTCACACCAATATAACTGCTGACTCTAAAAATGTGGAATTGAACTTCACCGCTGATAAGATGTTAACTCTGCAAGATGTCATGCGCACTCCAGAGGTAAGGAAGAATCTTGTTTTGAGTTACCATCGTAAGTAGGCTGAGATTAATCAATCTATAGGGGCTGAAATTTATACCTGTATTACGAATTTGAAATTTATGGGAAATGGTTATGCATGTGATGGGATGTTCAAGTTGAATGTTGAAGTTAATAAGATTATTCTTATGTTTACATGATGTGCAATTTTAAATTTGCTTACTCGTCTTTGTCATGTGGACAAATGGATTATGAAGAATATAAGTAACTTACATACATCTATAATTGTCTTGGAATGAATTCGATAAATGTAATTTCTGTAGTCAAGATATATAAGACAACAAAAATGCACTTTCAAAGTAAGAGAGTCATGTGCCTAAAACATCACATTTCGTGCAAAGGATTACTTCTAATAAAGTGGTGATCAGTTATCACGACACATTAATCAGTCACCTACGTGTAATGGTCCTATTAGTAGGTTCTAATAAATGATTAGTCAATTATTTGTTAAAATGAAAACTAGTTGTTAGTTCAATTGATCAATCGATATCGTTACATGAATGTGATTAGTGGTTGATCACTAACCGCTGAATCGATAACCAGCCCAATGACACTCCGGTATACAAGCCATATTGATTCAGCTGAAGTCCAAGACAAGACCTAATTTAGTTGTGGTGTGTTGTGTTTGATGTGTAATTAAATTAAATGAGCGAACCCGTAGATAAATTGGAAACCACCGTGCATGTATAAAGAATTTGGATATATTTGATCCATGACTGGTAGAGGTGGCAAATGGATTGATTCATGGATAAGTGGATTGGATTGTTTGATCCATGGATCAAATGGATTGGATCAAATGGATTAATGGATCCATGGATTGGATAAAGTGGATTGATGGATTATCCATTAATCCAAATGACATTTAAATCATTGAATCAAGATGTCAAATTTGAAAACTTTATATACTGCAACTTTATAATAAAAATTTTAGGTACCAAACTGTATATTTTCCATGATATTTTATTTTCTTTGACAAAAAAAATGGAAACGATTTTCGCAGATGAGACACTGAAACAGTCATCGCCGGCGACAAGAGTCTGCCGGCGACAAGAGTCTGCCGGCGACACCTCCAGCCTCCAGGTCCCTCCCAACTGGACAAGCGGCCGAATCTGGGGCCGAACGGCGCTGGCGGAATCCCTCCCGCAACCCTCCTCGAGCACATCAACGAATGGATTCAGACGAGAAAAAGAGACTACGAATTCCGACGGCGACGGCGCCATACTCATTCCTCGAGATCGAGCAGCTTACCGGGTAGATTTCTCCATTTCCAAGCACGACTTGAGAAATGAACTTGCGATCCATAGAACTAGCTGCGACGGTCAACATCCAGGGCGCCAAATTGGAAGCGGTGGCCGGCGAAGGGCCAGAGTTGCCTGCGGACGCTGAGCTCAATACACCGCGTTTCATGGCGTGGAAAGCTCCGATAGCCAACGCGTCGTCGAAGAACGGTTGCGGGTCGTCGGAACCCAGAGACATTGACAAGATGTCGACGTCGTCGGCTATGGCGTCATCGAATGCGGCGAGAATGGGGATTCACTGATCCAGACCTCCAAAGAGAACGGCGAGAATGGGGTTCAGGCAGCTGCTGAAGAGTCTGCTGGAGGCAAAGCAATGACTGCTTGCCAACTACTGCTTGCCAACAGACTCTGCCTTCACAGCACTGTAAACTGAAGGAGGAAGCCTTGTTATGACTGTTCCAGAATCAATCAGAATCCTTTCCGCCTATGGACAACCCAGTAAGGTTGAGGAAGTAGAAAGTTGGGAGCTGGGGATTATTGATCATTCTGGTATAAGAAATTGGGGTGAAGTTGCTGTAAACTGAAGTATTGGGACCAAATGCTAATGAGCCAGTAGCATCAGGTGCTGTTGTTGGCAAGCAGTAGGAGAAATGATGATGATATAGTTCAGTTTCCTCATTCAGCATTACATCTTTGCATCATTTCCTGATTCTTAACAGGACAACAGGGCTAAGCAAACTAAAGACCCTAACTTCATTCACAGTCAAGTTTGGGTCAGAAAACATTCAACATTACATCTTTGCATCAGGCAAACAAAACTCAATCGGGTTCATAACTCAATCATGTAGCCAAAAAGATGATGATATAGTTCAGTTTTCACTTTTCAATCATTCATCAGAGATAGGAGTATAATTAGCAGCCATCGAGGATGTTCCAATAGCCTTTGAAATCTTCACCTCAAGCCCATTATCACGATCATCACCTGCATATCATAAGATTAAAATGTTACTTAAAGTTTCCTTAGATTGAACCATATCATACAAAATATATTCTTAATTAGCTTACTTGGAAACCCATATAACCAATTGCGTGTGGTTATCAAAGCTTCGGCGTTTTCGGGCAAAAGAGAGCTTCGCCAGTTGTTTAACACTCTCCCTCCCATACTGAAAGCCGACTTCGATGCTATGGTTGTGATTGGAATGCTCAAAATATCTCTGGCCAAGTGAGCAAGCTCTGGGAACCGAGATTCATTATTCTTCCACCAGAGAAGAACATCCAATGGTTGTTTGCGCTTGAGTCTCTTATCATCTAAATATTCATCGAGTTGTGTTCTATCACCCAAGAACTGGTTTTCCCCAAAAGAATCAAACTCCTATGAAGAAAACAGCAATAATTTAAGGCAGCATCAGTTAGAAAAGAAGAAACAATGTAAGGCAACATCAGTTAGAAAATGTAAGGCAGCATCAGTTCAAAAGCTAAAGGACAGCAGTAAGGACATGGTATTTGGATAGAAGAAACCACATCAAACTACAAACTCAAGCCATATCATCCAATGACTTTATCTCACTTCATGGTTTACAGAACATCCTAAAAATTCTTTTCAAGTTGAACAGCCTCATTAGCCATATCATCTAAGCTTCTAAACTTGTCTGTAAGACTGTAACATGCAGCAGCAACAACTTGTCTGTAAAACCTTGGCAATGAAGAATGGACTAATTGCATGCAGCACCCAGGGAAGGATAGCTAATTTAGTGTAAGGGTATTAGAAAACCACAATAAAAAAGGCAAAACCTATACAAGCCACAAATGCAGCCACCTCCACTGCAACTTGAAGAAGCATAAATGCTCGGACAAACTTATCAGAATAGGTTATGGCCACACTAATCAAAACCAACTCACTGAGAGAAGTTCCAGAAGCACTTCACATACTAATTCTACAAAATTGAATGAGCAAAATAAAGGACAAACATCATGAAAGAGAATAAAAAATGAGAAGCATGTTTACTTACATCCATATCATCTCCAAAGTCAACATCTTCAGCAAAATCCTCAGCAAGGGATTGAGATTGATCAGTAGGATCACCATACAACTTCAGTAAATCACATATCTTCCCTCGAAGCTCACAACACTTTTCTTTAGCAACATCGTTGTCCCCATACAACTTCTCATAGCAAAACCTCACAGAATCCATCTTGTACCGTGGATCAAAAACCACTGCTATGGAGAGGATCATACTATAGGAGTCCCAGTACTTATCAAACTTCTGCTTCATTGCTAAACCCATATTTCGAATATCACTATCCATACTTTTAGATGCCTCCATTAGCCGCATCTGAATCCTCCATACATTGCAAAAGTACAAATTCGAAGTAGGATAATGCACTCCAGAAAAAAGGTTAGTGATATCATCAAAAGGTTTCAAAATCTTCTTAATTTTCTTGATCTTCTCCCATTCCACATCTGACGAAAATCGATCAAAATTCCTGTCAACCAACTTCAAATGCTGAAAAGCACGACGATAGAGCTCAGCTCTTTCAAGCATCATGTATGTCGAGTTCCATCTAGTCGGACAATCTAACCACAATCCTTTAGAACTCAAACAATTACTTCTTTTTGCACAATCTTCAAAGACAATCATTCGAGATTCAGACCCTTTGACATATTTCACCCACTCCCTAATTACATCTATTGAAGCACGAATCTGTTTTAACCTTTCATTCACAATCAAGTTTAGAATATGAGCTCCACAACGGATATGAAAATATTCTCCATCACATACCAAAGCATCATCTTCTTTCAATTTATCGATCAACAAACTTTGCATAACATCATTGCATCTGGCATTATCCAATGTAATTGAGAAAATTTTCTTCTCAATTTGCCACTCTTTCAACAAATCATATATAGCTAGAAACAAAACTATTGCACTATGTGGAGGGGGAATGTGACAGAAGTTTAAGATCTTAGTATTTAACCTCCATTCAAAATCCACATAATGAACCGTGAGACAAAGATATCCTTCTGTAGCACAAGAAGTCCACAAGTCACAAGTCAAACAAAGCCTGCCAGGAACCTTGCTCAAGATAGTTTTCAATTTTTCCTTTTCCCTCTTATGAATCTTCAAACAATGTGACTTAGCAGTGTTCCGAGTAAATGACTTAAAATCATCATTCAAGTAGGCCATCACATCCTGAAGTCCACCATGCTCAACCATTGCAAATTCATACCCATGTTTTATGATAACCATAGCCATTAGCTCCTTAAATCTATTTTGATCTATTGCTTTTGAGCTTCCAACATTCGACACTGGCACTTCAATTGCACGTCCAATACACTTAAAACTATGACGAGTGAGATTAGAAATACCTTTACCAACCACATAAAGCTTGGGACAGTTTTTGCACTGTGCTCTTGATATATTATCTGCAAACTGATTCCCAGGGATAAAAGTAAATGTCTCCCATGCCTTAGAAGTTCTTTGTCGCTTTCGTTGAACACTTGTTCGAACCGTAGACGTCGACATTGCTGCAAAATGAGCCTCATCTCCAGAACTACCACCATTATCATTTCCCATAACATTCATTTGTTGACTAGACATCCTGAAATCAATCCAATTCCAGACTTAATTATGAATGCACAACTTCCATCAAATTAAAGACTAACTCACCATGACTAACAACTGCTTATTTGTGAAATCATTATATTACTGATATTTGTCACTTCACTAATCAATAGGGTGGTGCATTATATTACAATTAAAGGATGGAAGAGCTAGCTACCCAGCTTAATTAACAATCAAGCAAGCAAAGGTGGTGCATTATATTACTGGACAAATCAACAACTTCATTCAAGCAAAGGTGGGAGAACCATAATGGCCATTAACAAAGTACATTACCACCTGCAAGCTAATTCAGTCAACTTTCAGTAGCCTACAGTCTACACAGAGGTGATCCAGATCATATAAGAACAGCAAACATTCAATCAAATGAATGATCAGGGGAAAGCAAACGTCTAAACCTAACCGAATTTGCTAGCAGCTTTACCCTAGTTAGTACACCGGGTCAAGTGTCGATCTAAAGAATCATGTCACAGGAAGAACTAAGCCTAAACTTTAGACAACTGTTTGTTCTTCTTCTGTCTAATTGAACCATTTTACGTTGCTTCTTATAGCAGGATCGGTAGTGCTGCCTCTAACAAATCTTCCAACTCTGATTCCATTCCATCCTTTGATTGTTAAATATGAACAACTTCCATCCTTTGATTGTTAAATATGAAAACCCACTCTGATTCCATTCCATCAAGCAAAGAGAACCAGACAGGGCAACATAAATTGCAACTCACCATGACTAACAACTGCTTAATACAAAATGCAACTGGAAAGGGGAAGGGGAAGGAAATTACCTGAGATTTTAGTACTTCAGATTGGAACTGGACAAGTCTGATTCAAGAACTTCAAATTTTGGCTGCTCCAAGCCAAAGTACTGAATGTTCATTCGAGTTTAGAGTTCACTGCAAGAATTCACAAAATCAGAAATTCCAATGGTGAAACAATGGGGAAGAGGTTCGATTAGAAAGTACCTGTTCAACCTTTGAGACGGCGGAGCGGAGAAGCAACGAACAAAATTTCAGTTCGTGGGTTTGGGCGAATGGAGTGATTAACGTTCCTTGATGGAGCTGGACGAGAAATGATGGAGAGGAAGGCGAGTTTCTGACCTTCGTGAAGGAGGCGACGAGGTGGGTCTGGATAGGAAGCGACGAGGTGGGTCTGGATAGGAGGCGACGAGGTGGGTCTGGAATAGGAAGCGACGAGGTCGCGGTGATTTTTGGAGGCGACGACTGACGAGGTGGGTTCAAGAGGGTGAGAGAGGCGTTGTCTTATCGGCGTTGTCTAGAATTGGAGATTTGGAGGCGACGAGGTCGCGGTGGTTGTTGGAGGCGACGACTGACGAGGTGGGTTCAAGAGGGGGAGAGAGGCGGCGACAGGCCGACAGCAGCTCGCCGGAATCACTCCAGGGCGACAGGCCGACAGCAGGCTCCGACTGCTTCAGGGCTCAGGCTCTTGTTTTGTTTTGATTTTTGGGTATAGGTTAGTGATTTAGTGGATATCCATGAATCCAGTCCATTTATCCATGGATTAAATGGATTTGGACTAAATGGATTTGGATCAATTTAAATGGATTGGACTGGATTGGACTAATGGATTGGATCAAGATTGCCAGCTCTAATGACTGGTGATCAATTAAATTAGGAATCAATTACAACAATATTCAAAGGGATTAGGCAAAGGATATCTATGGTGATCTCAAAGCCTGGCTAGTGGAGGATTAGGCAGCTCATCTCGGATTTGGAGAATTTTGTCCCCCTTTGAATTAAATACCATATACATAGATGCATCTTTGAAAGCCTCCAAGTTACACCTAAAGCATCAAGGCTAATATGCTTAGCTCCCCCTTGATAATAGAGAGCAATGATAATTATTTATGCACCATTTTCTCTCCAACACATAGTATGACAACAAAATTCGAACTCACGGGTACTTTACCCGACCCAACTCAGTTATCGCGGGTAAAATCCGTGCTGACGGGTTTCGGGTAGGGTTCGGGTTTAAGCACGTACACTGTTCATCTGGTTGGGTTGGGTTTGGGTTTAGCGATACCCGACCCATGTATACCCGCCCACAGTTATTCCGTTGCTCTACTCTCCCCAAACCCTACCCTAATTCTAATTTCCCCCAATCTAACTCTCACGACACTCACGATTCACCTACCGCCTCCCTACTCTCCCCAAACAAATGAACGAAAAAAAAGAAGAAGAATTGTGTGCTTTTATTTAGTGTAATTGTGATTTGTTTGAATTTTCTATACTAGTGTGTTATGTGTGGATAATTTGTATGAGAAAATTGATATTTGAATTTTATTTTGATAGCAACTTGTTATTGTAAATTTTTTACCGCAAAAACCCATGGATACTCATGAACACGCGGATACCCAGTGGGTTGGGTTTGAATTTTCCAAACCCAGTGGGTTTTACCCCGAATTTTTTTGGCGGATAAACCCATGAATTTGAATTTGGATTTGACAAAACCCAACCCAACCGGATCAATTGCCATCCCTACACATACTCACTCAGTTGATCTACACAAATTAGACGGTCAATTAGACTCCCTAACCACTTTTCCACTTTTCTCTCTCTAATTTTAATGTAAACACAATATAAAACCAGTTCTGCAAGCTGGATCGTGCAGGTTTTTCTCTCCGATTGATAAATACACAAGAATGTGTTTCACTTGAATTTGAAATCTATCATGGTATCAGAGTTCTTTTGAGTCGATTTTGTCTCACAACTCATTCGTTCTTCAACAATGATCATACTTGAATGAACAATTGATGACGCAACTCATTATGATTAAAACTAAATGAGTAGTTAATATCACAACTCATTCCGATTAAAAGTTAATGAACAACTGATGACACAACTTATTCTTATTAAAGCTGAATAAATAGTTAATGGCACAACTTTTTTTTTTTATGGTAGTTAATGGCACAACTTAATATGGCAAACATGTGACGAATCTATCGTTATCTTAATCAAATATTGTGTTTTCGGCATTAATGACGTCATATTTGACGATAATTTTTAATGTCCATATTTTTCAAAAAACATTTATATCAAAATATTCATCTTAATCAAATATTACTACCTATATAAAAATAATCTAAAAACTATATTAAAAAAATATGAAATCTACTCTAAACTAAACTATGTAAAAAAAAAGAGCAAGTTTGACACTCTAACACTACATATTAGAGCAAATTTCACTTTTGGTAGCCAAAAATACCAAATAATTCTAACACTCTAGAACTTCGGCTCCCCATTTATTAATAATAATGGTATTATTACTACAAAATATTCACTAAACATTTGTTTAAGCTATAATTGTAGCTCTAAAATCCAACTAGAAATAGTTACCAGAGCAGCAAGCAACACCCTCAGGGCTCAGACAGTGTCACTGACTCTCAGTTTTTTTATGGGTGTGTGGCAGGCCCGGCCATGGGCCTGTGCTGGTCGGCCCGCCAGCACAGGGCCTCATAATTTGAGGGGCCTCCAATCTCTATCAAATACAATAAGGCTATGTTCAATAGTTAAGAACAATTGGGCTAAGTTATAGGCCTTATAATATTCCTTCCTTTAATTCGTATGGGCCACGAGAAATAATGTATGGGCCATGGATGAAAAAAGAATTAATAACCCCACACCACATGGACATGGCAACATGGCAACGTATTTCTTTAAGCATTCCATTAAAAGAGAATTTTCAGCATCCACCGTTAAATAAAAGATTTAATAGACTAGGCCCCTTAGCCAGTTAGCCCATCAATAAATATGGTTTCTTTTCCGTTAATAATCGCCCATTGTAACCCAATTGCACAAAAGTAAAAAAAATTAGTAGTCACTGGTCAGCTTTATAAAAAAGTTACTCAATTTGAATTAAATCAACAATTCTACTCATCTTATATTGTTCCTCCCATTTATTTTTCTAGAATTCATCTCATCTTGTACTCAATTGAGGTCTCATAATCTATTGAGGTGAGTCTAATAGATAGACTAATTTTCAATTGGGTTAGTGTTCGGATTCGTTTATTTGTTTCTTTCTAAATAATCAATTTTGTATTGTATGTTCTGGTTTCAGCTATAATCAATCATCGTGTTTATGATTTTGATCTTCTTGAATTTTGCCTCTAATGAGTCTTTTAAGGACTTTTTGGATTTCATTGATACCACTAGTCTAGTATTATTTGAAGTTTTTAAAGCTGAATTGAATTCTCTTTGATCTTGATTTTGATAACATTAGAAGACAATTTATGTATCTTAATATTTTGTAAAAATGATAGTTTTTACTTTTATAAAAATAATACAATAATTTTAATTTATAAAAAAAATTGGGCCACATTTTTTTTATCCGGAACAGGGCCTCCAATATTCATGGGCCGGCCCTGGTGTGTGGGAAAAGGTGAGTGAATAGTCATTTGGCAACGTCGTCTTCTTGGCTTTTAACTTTTAAGTGACACCTCTGCCTCTCTAGAACCGAATATTTCCCCCTCCCATCCTTCCCCTTTCTCTCTCTCACCAGCACAACCCGCGTCTTCCTTCTCTGCGACGCCAACGCCATTGCCATCGCCGCCGACGTCTCACATTCCTCCATTCCCAACTCGAACCCTTCCCCTCCAACCTGAAATCGATCCCCCGCACCCCTAATTTCAGATCCCCATTAATACCACCAACTAACTACAACTAGGAACCCAAACCAGCTTACCTAACAATAACCTGAAAACTGAAAAAAACCCAGAAATTTTGTTTCATACCCCTGCCGCCAGACTTCTCATCCTGATTCCCCGTCGTCGGAAGCTACATTTTGCTCCGGTGAGTTTGATTTCTGCGTTGAGAGGGTCCCGTCCCGTTTGGTGGTTGGGGGGGAAATCAGTAACTCGTGGTTGTGCTTATGATGACGATGATGTTAGCGTGTTGTTTTCGTCTGTTTCTGTCCTTTTCTCTTTTGGGTTGTCTTTTCTCCCGATGCGGTTTGTACTCTGTAAAAGAAGTTTTTTTATTGCAATTTTCCCGGTCGATTGCTCCTCTCGGTGTCGGTGGGGTTTTCTCCAGTTTTAACTCCGGTGGAAGCTTTCTGATCGGGAAATTACCGATTGAGTTTCTAATTGGAGCCGGTCATTTCCCTGCCGCAATGGGCTTTTCCCTTACTCTTCATTGTTTCCCTTTCCCTGCCCTTTAATCTGTTTTCCCCCAACGGTTTTTGAGCTCTTGGGTATTGAGAGACTGTGACTATCAGTCCTTCTTCGGTTTGTGCATTTTTATTTCTTTCCCCACTGTAGCTTTCTACTGTTCTTTCATCAGTCTCAGAGTTCAAACCACGCTTTTAAATTCCCCCTGCTGAAACTGTTTTGGAATTCTTCCAGTTCTGGTCTTCTGGAGATCTTGATTGTGCAATTATGAAGCTCCGTTGATTTTAGATCTTGGGTTCTACTTTTAGCCTTAGTTTGCATGCTCTATTCCGATTAAAACTGCTTCCCTATTATGAGAGGTGTTCCAGATTTTACGCCTCCTTGAATTGGCACTTCAAATAGAACATTTATGGTATTAAAAATGAAAATTGATGTGGTTGGCTTGTTACTATCTATCTCATTGACACTACTCCTAAAGTTTCTTTGATTGGTTTTTTGGAGTCTTTTTCTTTTCTGGGTCTATGTAATTCTGATGACTTTGGTTTTGCTTAATGTGTACTTTTTCCAAAGGCCAAAAATTGATGGCTCGTTTGTAGTTTGCTGCTTGCCTTCTGACAATGTAGTTTGGATTCAACTCTTTGCAGAACTTTTATTGGTAGAAATGGACCGCCGGAGTTGGCCATGGAAGAAGAAGTCTTCATCCGAGAAGGCATCCAAAGCAGCGGCTGCAGCAGCTGAGTCTCTCGATGCTGCTTTGGCTTCTGCTGAACCACAGGCGCAGGCAGTGAAGGTAACTTGTTTCATCTCATCAGTCTCCAAAATGTAATATGGCTATCGAGAAGTTGAACTAGTTTTGACCCCTTGGATTTATGTTTGAAACAGGACAACTACAAGAAACCGAATTATGTCCAAATCTCAGTTGAATCGTACACCCATTTGACCGGTTTAGAGGAGCAAGTGAAAGGATATGAAGAACAAGTTCAATCACTGGACGACGAGATCAATGACTTGAATGAAAAGCTCTCTGCAGCTCAATCAGAAATGACCACAAAGGAGAACTTGGTGAAACAGCATGCCAAGGTTGCTGAAGAAGCTGTCTGTGGTAATAATACTTACAGTTCTGTATAGATGCTTGTGATTCAGTCTTTCATCTCCCGCCATATTTATAGAACATGGATTGTTTTTTCCCCCCTGCAGGCTGGGAGAAGGCTGAAGCAGAGGCATTGGCGTTGAAGAACAGTCTAGAAGCAATGACGCTCTCCAAGCTGACAGTCGAAGATCGAGTAGCTCATCTAGACGGTGCTCTCAAAGAATGCATGAGGGAAATACGAAACCTCAAGGAAGACCATGAGCAGAAATTGCAGGAACTTGTTCTCACCAAGAACAAGCAATGTGAAAAGATTAGACTTGATCTCGAATCAAAGATTGCTAATTTGGATCAGGAGCTGTTAAGGTCAGCAGCTGAGAATGCAGCTTTATCGAGGTCTTTGCAGGAGCGTGGCAACATGTTGGTCAAGATGAGCGAGGAGAAATCACAGGCGGAGGCGGAGATCGAGGTTCTCAAGGGGAATATAGAGTCTTGTGAGAGGGAGATAAACTCGATGAAGTATGAAGTACATGTGGTGTCGAAGGAGCTTGAGATAAGGAATGAAGAGAAGAACATGAGCATGAGGTCTGCTGATGTGGCAAACAAGCAGCACATGGAAGGTGTGAAGAAGATAGTCAAGCTTGAAGCCGAATGCCAGAGGCTACGGGGGCTCGTGAGGAAGAAACTGCCAGGTCCTGCTGCTCTGGCACAGATGAAGCTTGAAGTCGAGAGCTTGGGCCGAGATTATGGGGATTCGAGGTTAAAGCGGTCACCTGTCAAGCCTTCCAGCCCACACATGTCACCTATAACTGAATTCTCTCTCGGGAAGGAGACCGAGTTCTTGACAGAACGGTTGTTTGCCACGGAAGAAGAGACCAAGATGCTCAAAGAAGCTTTGGCTAAGCGTAACAGTGAGCTTCAGGCTTCGAGGAATCTATGTGCCAAAACAGCAAGCAGGCTTCAAAGCTTAGAAGCTCAACTTCATATGACCAATCAGCAGAAATCTGTGCCTAGCGTCACATCCATGTCAGAGGATGGAAATGATGACGATCGAAGCTGTGCTGACTCTTGGACCACATCGATGATGTCGGAAAAGAATGGTGAGAGATCATCGATCAAGGCAGAGAGTGCTAAGAACATCGAGCTCATGGATGACTTCCTCGAGATGGAGAAGCTGGCTTGTTTGGATCACCCTGGCAACAAGACTCCTGAGGTCTCTAATGGCATGTCTGATGTGCCTAGTAGAGAAGCTGTCCCAGAAGAAGTCAACTCGGGCAAAAATGATGACATGCAATCAAAGATATTGGAGGATGTTAAAACTGTAGAGTCTGAAATGAGCCAAGACTTGGCTTCTGCAGTCTCTCAGATACATGATTTCGTACTATTGCTTCGGAAAGAAGCAATTACGGTTGATGGTGATGATGGGGAAGAACTAAGCAAGAAGATCGAAGACCTATCATTAACCATCAACAAAGTTCTGAACCAAGGTTCAAGCTTGGGCACCTTCATTTTTGACCTGTCCCGAGTGCTGGACAAGGCGAGTGAGCTTCGGTTTAGTGTGATGGGTTACAAAGGAAATCAATCTGAGATCAGCAGCCCAGATTGTATCGACAAAGTTGCTCTGCCAGAGAACAAGATTGTAACGGATGATGGACCATACTCGTCAATGAATGGCCATGTGTCAAGTGGCAGTCCAAAGTCGAACCCCGAGGTTCCAGATGATGGGAACTTGATCCAGTGCAAAGTCTCATTAGAGGAGTTTGAAGAACTGAAGTCGGAGAAGGACAACATGGCTCTTGATCTTGCTAGATGTGGTGAAGAACTCGAAACCACGAAGCTTCGGTTGCAAGAAACAGACCAACTGCTTGATGAAGTCAAATTACAGCTGACTAATGCTCAAAGGTCAAATTCTTTGGCTGAGACTCAGTTGAAGTGCATGGTGGAATCGTATAGATCACTTGAGCTACGTGCTGATGAGCTGGAAACTGAGGTCAATGCTCTTAGAATCAAGGCCGAAGGGTTAGAGATAGAGCTTGATACTGAGAAGAGAGCACACGAAGATGCTTCGAGCAGATGCAAGGATCTTCAAGAACAACTTGAAAGGTATGAACTTTAACCCTTAATTCACTTGTTTTCCATTTTCCCCGCAACAAACCTGAATCGAATTGACTCATGTTTAATTGTTTTAGGAACGAGAATTGCCCAGTTTGTGCAGCAGCAGCAGCTGAGATGGACGCTAAGCAAAAGCAGGTTAGTCTTATGCATTCCCTTATTTCAAAAGCTTCCATTTGAAACTCAGAATTTGACGAATCAACAAATTGTTCTCTTGTTTTTCCTACAGGAGAAAGACCTCTTCGCTGCAGCAGAGAAGCTAGCAGAATGCCAAGAGACAATATTCTTGTTAGGCAAGCAACTAAACTCTCTACGCCCTCAGTCGACAGAGAACTCTGGTGAAAGAAGTCCGAGAGGTGGCGATGGTTCTGCTGAGGAAGAACCACCAACAACAAGCGGCACAAACTTGCAAGTAGGAGGAGGAGGAGGAGGAGAAGAAGTGCTTGACACTGCAACTTCTCCTGCTCCTCGGTCTCCAGTGCATTCCTTCAACAACCCAGGAAGGGAAAGCCCTGATTTGGAAGCCGCCAACTTGTTGAGATCACCGGTTAGCTCGAAGCATCCGAACCACCGGCCAACCAAGTCGACCTCATCGTCTACTTCATCCACTCCAACACCAGAGAAGCCCGGGAGAGGATTCAGCAGATTCTTTTCCTCAAAAAGGGAATAAGAATGGGTATCAGTAGATCGAAAGTGCGAATGGGGTGGCAGCTCGCAATCTACTGCATGATTTGACGTTATAATGATCATGATGATAGTGAAGAATGTGATGATGGTGACTATAGAATGGAGGGTTTGGAGAAGGGGGAGAGAAAAAGGTAATTTTGTAACTAATGACTCTGTCTGTGTCTGCTATGTATCTGTATATGGTATCCATATGTGTGACTTCCTTTGCTGTTCTTTTTTTGGTGTTTACGTTTTGCATTTAAACGTTGTTGAGTGATGGAACATGACACCCTTTTGAACAGTTTGTATATATACTATTAAGAAAGGTTGATACTTTGCTGCTGTCTCAATCCCCGGACGTTCAATTTCGTTGTTTACTAGGAATCGTCTTAGCTCATCACTTCGAAACTAAGATTGAGAAGAAGACGAAAACATTAGAGATCTCCCACTCGAACAACTGAAAATATAATGGAATGCTTGTATCAGTTCATACATGGTATCACTGTTTATTAAATGTGAATTGAGACATTCATCAACGATGACTAATTCTCTGACTTTGAAAAGATAATAATGAACAGATAATAATGAACAGTAAAGAAGATGCAGTTATGGGCTTATGGCTGAAAGGAATCGAACCCGAATTGGTGGTGAGATTTTCTCAGGCCTTGTGATCGACTGACTCATTCACTGCGGACTATAACCCTTGGCGTCGAGATCCAAGGCTAATGGGCTGAGAACCTTTTTTTATGTGGACTGGGCCAGTATAACTTTGGTAAATCAGCCAGCCCATTTCTGAGATCTACTTTCCTCCGGATTGCATAGCTGGTCAAGGCCTCTCATAAAAGTCCAACTTTTTCCTGGGTACAAAATTGCAAGCGGAATTCCATCCTAGTGTCATAGATCGATTACTAGAAGTAGGGGTGTATATGGGTCGGGTGGTCCGGGTTTAGCTATCTTAATCACCCGACCCATTCACTACGGTTTGGAAAATATTAAACCCAAATCCAACCAAAAAATTTAAAATTCTACGATTTGTTTTCAATTGGGTTGGGTCGGGTTGGCGATATTTTTAAGTAAAAACCCAACCCAACACAAAATATGTAATTATTCTACACCATAAAAATATTTTTAAAACTAATTAAAATTTCAAACGAATAAACCGAGGTGAAAGATATCGAAATTCACAAATGTTGTTTGAATTTTAATAAAATATAATTTACTTCAACATATGTCTATAGTTTTTTTTCACAATATTTGTTTAAATAGGCTAAATAGGTTATAAACAAACACATCCATAGTATGTTATTCTATTAAAATTGTACACAAGAAAAAGGATTACATGAATCATAGCTATATTAAATCTATGTCTAAATTTTAAATTGATGAATGCATTAGATTAGGAAAACCATGGGAGAAAAACATGGCAAAATATCTTAATTTTCTTATAAGTATGGCTATACACGACATAAATATTTTTTGTACACGAACTCATACTAATAGTTGGAACACGGGTCGGGTCGGGTTCGACGGGTTGTGTAATCCAAAATCCAAACCCAACCCAAAAGAGGCGGGTTGTACAAAAGAAAATCCTCACCCAACCCAAAACCTTAGTTTTAGCGATAAATACGGGTGGGTTGGATCGAGTTGGACGGGTGGGTCGGTTTGCGGGTGTATTTGTTCACCCCTAACTAGAAGGAAGATTTAGAGAAGTACCGATCAAAAAAAAAAAAAAAAAAAGAGAGAAAAAAAAATTATTTGAGAGGGACTCAGAGTTAGATGTGTCGTGTGTGCAACGATTGGTTCCGATCGAGAGAATCGCGGTTTAATAGTAAAAATAGATTTTAGAACTAAGGATCAGATCAGTAGTGCATTAGGTCCTTTTTGATTCAGTGTAAATGTCAATTCAATTTATTTTTCTTCTATATTCATAAAGTTCATGCAACCAATAACTAAATCCTATTATTTTCAGTTCGGTGTGATCCAGTTCAAATATCAATTTTGTCCATTACAATCCTGTACGACCAACCCGTTGCACATTGGGTGCAACAACTTATGATTTCAACACTCTTGCCGTACCCCGGCAGATTAGATAGCTCTAGTAGCCAACCAAATGCAATCTTACTTGGAAAAAACAAAATTGCGGCATTTTTATATGTTCGGAAGAGTTACTTTAATAGTTGGATTTGAAAATGAGAATGTTTCAATTTTGAATTCATTATTTGTTGAGTTGATTTTTGGATAATGTCTAATTTTTATTCAAATACTTTTTTAGATTCTTTTATATTATCCAAATCTATTAAAATACTATTAATTAGCCAAATCTTTCGTAATGCATCAAAATATTAGTCAGTTTTACGTTATCGTTAATAATTTTGTAACTTTTTTCTTAGTTAAAATACTAAAGTTTTGGAATGTTGACTTTCATGTGTCTCTTCCATAGTCAGTATCATGTTGCCAAGTCAATAATACTAACAAAATTGCTAACTGGAAGTTAACATTTGGCTAATTCTTAGTATTTCGATAAGTTTGTATAATATAAAAGAATCTTAAAAAGGTTTAAATAAAAAAATAGACATTATCCTTAATTTTTAATCATGACTTTTAAGCTTTTTGCATAGTGATTTTACAAATATGATAATCAAATATCACCTTTTGATGGGATTTACCAACCCATGCAATCCAAGAATTTAAACCCTCAAAGTTCATACACACCACCGGTTTGATCCCCAACAAATTTCAAACAAACAATGACTTTGTGCAAACTCTACGATCGATGAGATTGGGGACCCAAATCCATAATCTAAATTCACGAAGCAAACACCCCATTAATATGTTGTCTTTTCCCCCATAGTGTAACATGAAACAGTCCTTTTGAGTAACAAACTGGCGAACCTACAACTTGTGGAACATATATACATACCACCGCTAGCTAGATAGCTTGGTCAGTAGAAAGTAGTACATACCGATCTCCTCCATGCTCCGCTAGCTGGAACTTGGCCGTAATTTTGATGGTCTTGATCTAGAATTCTTAACCCCTGAAAACTTGGCCGCAATCTTAAAACTCTGTCTACCTCCACAAACACAGCCATCATAGGGGCTGAAATCATGGCTTCTTGCCTCAAATATATAAAGTTCCCTCTCGGCTCCCACAACCATTTATAGTTTATTTGATTCCATCTACGAGATCCCTTTGAACTATTTAGCTTCTCTAATCTCTACTCCATCATGCAAATCCAAGACCCACTCAATAGTTCCCACTATCCACAAGTTTCAAAAACTTGCACTCCTCCATCACCCCAAACCCGTGTCGGGTAATATCAAATCCATGCCGTTGCGTACTACATCTAGAATTAGCGACCTCTTTAAGTTATCGTTCATCTGTTTCTAATTTGAGTATTGTTTCACCGTTTGAAAGCGCTGAAACTTAATTAAACCCACTGGCTCGTTTGGTTTCGCAAACATCTCATCTTCACCGTTTACGACGGAAATTGATAAATCATATACATTTGAGAATGAGAAATGCACAATTGACCCCAAGATCATATAACTAGAACAAAGGAAAAGAATCACAAACTATGAATTGGACCACCACCACTATCTAGCTACTAGATTTGGCCTTTGGAGAATAAATGGAGTCGTGCCCTATTGATGATCAATTGGTCACTATTGAAGAGCTAGCAAACAGTTGCGATTTGTCTGATCTCCACCCACAAAGATTCAAACTTGGGAGCTTTCTCTTGTGGCTGGACATTCAACCGTAGAAAGGGCTGATGAAGCAATCAATTTGATAGGGCAATGTTTGGCTCAGAAAGTATAAGCATATTTATAATATTGGCTTTCTCCAACTCAACGAACTGGAAAAAAAAGGAAAGGGACAGAAAGAAAGAAAGAAAAAAAACGCCATTGTAGCTTAAGCTGCTTCCCCTCAACAACACAGGGATGGCCTACGAAGACAGCTCACCTTCCCAACATAAGGGTCTCTTTGTGTCCAAACAATCCCTTAAGCTAACGTGACTGGCCCTTTGCAACAGTAATCCCCTAAATTGGCCAAAGAAAGTTTTCCCGCCAGACAACATTTCATCAAGAAAACAAAAAAGGGTTACATCGTCACATGCAACTGCCAAACACAAACAATAATAATCACACACAGCACAACTGGTTTTGTCTTGTGACTTGAAATATTGCGTTGAATTTGTTTCCACGACATTTTTAGTTTTTGTTTTATCAACTCTTTCGATCGATAATTACTAGATATTTATATTCATTCATGAAGAAAAAAATTAAATATAGTCATACAACTGACTTTGCGGGGGAAAAAAATATTATCCCAAATCCAATGAAGTGGTATTTTGATTTTTAAAGGCAGCTTAGAAATATAAAATATACCCGTACTTGACTATTGATTTTGTGCAAAAAATATATATGATAAAGTTCTGTGGATACCATGGACATATACTTCACTTTCTCAACTCCTTTATGGGAAGTTGTTGTATGGGAATGATCTTATATCCAAAATGTTCCCCCGGTTGTCTTGTGTATGGTTTTTTTTTTTTTTTTGTAATAACATAAATGTATTTTGGTGTGTTAAAATGGTTCCACAGAATATCACCCACTTGCACCTTCTGCAACGCAGCACTAGAAACAGTTTTGCATTTGTTGCGAGATTGTGACTTTTTGTATTAATAACGTGGTTGCAACTTATCAAGTTTTCTGACCACCAACAATTTTTTGAAATCCAATTTGAGGATTGGATTACACGTCAACTTCGATAGCAATCCATGTGCTTTGCATTTGACATTACATGTTGGTCCTTTTGGATAACCATAAATGATCGATTCTTCATCCAACGCATCTTAGAATGGATTAATGTAGTGCGAAATGTAATGGACAAGGACATGCTTGTTCATATGCCTAGTATGCTCATAGGAACGAAGACAGAGATCTCCTGGAAGCCGCCAACTCCTGACTGGGTAAATCTCATCAATTCTGACGGCTCTGTTTTTCATGATTCCGGTTATAAAGTTGCAGGATGGCTTGATTAGAGAACATACATGATGCTTCCTAGCAATGTTCGTTATTAACCTGGGGATATGGCATGTTGAAACCAGGAAGTTGATCGGAAGTTGATCGGAGAATTTAGGGATTTGGTTTGCTGATCCCTCGATCTCGAAGAGGATGATGGGAAAAGGGGAAATGAAATGCAACAGGAGACAGCAAAGGGCTTCTTCTACATCAGGCAACGAAATGGGCTTAAGAGAGCAAAGCCCATGACTGGAATAGAAGGAAGCCCACAGACATAAATAAGAACAGAATATAGAAAGGACTTAGAAGCAGTTAAGCCCACGAGATCCTTGTTGGCTTAGGAGAATTGAAGCCCACAGAGACTCTTAGCTCTGCGAAGCTGATCTCTTCTTCTTCTTCGGACAAAATCCTTAGAAGCAGAGACTCAAAAGAAAACAGAGCAGAGAGGCCAAA